TGCTGTTAGATAGACAGAGATAGATATTGATTTGGGTGAAGAGAAAGGCAACGTACCAAATGTGAGTGACCAATATGACAGCACTGAGGATGAGAAAGACATAGAGAGGTACATGGGAAGTACAGACAATAAATATGAACCCTTTTGCATATACAGTACTCAGTTCTCAGTGAAGGCAAACATGGGTATATGGATGGATAGATACGTGGACAGGCTAAACGATCAGGTATGTCTATGAAATAGGGAGTGTATCCAAGATCATATATGGTCCTATAAGTTTATGTGAATGATCAGAATCCCCAGGTGTATAGTAGAGCTGACAAGGGGCAAGGTTGTGGTCACTGCTTGGTCACAGCCAGCTACCCTGAGCGACCAAGTAGTTGATCCTGTGGGCTTGGGGCCATAGGCACAGGGGACATCAAACTCAACTGGCATAACAGAATATACAAATCATTGTTCCACCTCCTTCTTTGGTGAGTAGCGACTGGGATCTTAAAAACTAGCAAGCTGCCATCTAGATGCAATGATGGGTTTCTCCTCGTCAAGAGCAAAGAAGAAAGAAGAAAACCAAAATTAATGGAAACAATCAGTCCGTGCAACTGGTACACCACCCGATCTGCAACCTATAGTACCATGAGACCAGAAGAACTAGATGGTGCCCGGTTACCAATGTCATCCACTTGGAAGGGATGTAGGAGATCCTGGATAGAGAGGGAGAACAATGTGGAACAAAACTCAAAATCAATTGGAGGGAAAAAAAAAGATGGTTGGGACCAGGTTTGCTGGTCCAAGAGAGCCTGGTGGAACCACTGAGACTATGGCCCCTAGCTGCCCTTCAGGTATGGAGTTGAACCCACACCTGTGGTTTCCAGCCAAACAAAGTACAGGCATGTGAGTTAAACATTTACCTCAAGTAGACACACACCCAGGAAAGAACAATCATGGGAAAAGGAAGGGCTGCTTATGCACAGGGAGAGAGCTCAGGGGGTAGGAGAGTATGGAAGGATGGACACTGGGAAGTGGTAACTATGGGGAGGAAGTGGGAGGGGAGCTGTTGCATTGTGGTAAACTGTGGTCAATGACATGAGACAAAGTATATGTGAACTACTGTATAGAAAGTGAATTTGCTCTGTAAATCTTCACCCAAATCACAATTAAAAAAAAAAAAGAAATATAGGCAGTCCTTGGATTATGGATGAGTTCCAATCCTAAATCTGTCTTTAAGTCAAATTTTCATGTAAATCATAATAGGTAGGTACAGTTTAGTTCATATCTAATGTCAGTTGGTCAAATGTTTGTTTTAGTATATAGTGTACCTTTCTATGCATAAGAAACATTAAAGAAACACTTGAAGATACACTAAAATATCTTTACCATAATCTTGTTGTTAGGTGCCATTGAATCAGCTCTGGCTGTATGTACAACAGAATAAAACACTACCCAGTCCTAACACCATCCTCACAATATTTGCTATGCTTTAGCCCATCATGTCAGCCACTGTGTCATTCCATCTCATTGAGGGTCTTCCCCTTTTTTGCTGACCCTCCACTTTACCAACAATGATATCTCCAGGGACCAGTCCCTTCTGACAATATGGTCAAAAGAGGTTAAGACAAAGTCTGGCCATTCTCACTTCCTAAGAGCCTTCCAGCAGTACTTCTTCCAAGACAGATTTGTTCATTCTTCTGGCAGTCCATTGTATTATCAATATGCTTCACCAACACCAAAATTCAAATGCATTAATTCTTCTGCACTCTTCCTTATTCATTGTCCACCTTTCACATGCACATGAGGAGATTGAAAATACTATGGCTTGGGTGAGACACACCTTAGTCTTCAAATGGACATCTTTTCTCTTTTCACACTTTAAAGAAGTCTTTTGCAGCAGACTGGCCCAGTGCAAGATATCATCTGATTTCCTGACTGCTGCTTCCATGAATGTTGATTATAGATCTAAGTAAAACGAAACCCCTGACAACTTCAATCTTTTCTCCAGTTAACAAAACAATATAGTAATAATTTCTTGATGTGTGCCACAAAGCAGCACTTGTTTGTTATTTTGAACCATTGTATGTACCTCAAATTTTTAATATAATAGGCTTTACAGGGCTTGGTTCATAACTACAGGTTGTGTGTTCATAAAATGGAGACTCTCTATATACGGGCTCTTTAGGCAAAGGGATCTGAATTCTAATCCATGTTCCTTTGATTTACAAGCTTTGTGACTTTGAGCAAGTTAATTAACTACTCTGTTATGGGTGTAGTAGAATAAAGAAAGGCTTATATAGAAGAAAAAAAAAGTAGATTTTGTACATATTGTTGTTATTGCCATTGAGTTGAAACCGACTCATAGCGACCCCTCCTTGGGTTTCTGAGGCAGTATTACTACAGAAGGAGATTGCCCCATTTTCCTTCTGAAGAGTAGCTGGTGGGTTTGAACTGCCAGTCTTCTGGTTAGCAGTCAAGTGCCTTCGGCACTACGCTACCAGGGAAGTAACCATAGGCAGAAAGGCTGACCTGCAGGTTGAAGTAGTATTAGGGTAAGATGCTGACTGTCTAACAGAGGAGTAAGCATTACATTCAGTAGATGTCAGGAACAATTAGTGCACATGCTCATAACCACAACAATAAACTAGTTAAAAATTTAGAACACAATGGGTAACAAGTTGGGGTTATATGCATATGAAAAAAGCTTGGCATCAGTCTGGATCTTGGAGGCCCTTTCTGCTCCCTGACATTTTTTTCTACTATTAAGAGTTCCCACTTCAATTAAGAAGAGAAGACAGACAGAAGAAAGTATGGGCAACCAACAACAAATCTGGTACAGAACTGCACTCAAATACGCTCTCAGAAGTTCACTGCTTGCAGTTCAGGAAGCAGAGTTCCAATATCCATGATTCAGAAAGAAGCCTCATTTAATTTAAGCCTACGTGGTTGGTACAGAGAATTTCATTTGCCATTTCATATATGATCTAATGCATTACAAGCTGGTCACTTTATTAGAATTTCAGAATATTTTTACTTACCTGCATTAACATGTAATAGATTCCAGCCATGCCATGGGCTGCTCCAACATACTGCTTCCTGTGCCACTGATATAATAGGGGACAGCGCTCAGCTTTTCTCTCTTCCTTTGACAAAGTCTTACCCGACTCAATTATAGTACTGACTACCTACAGAGATAAAAGAGACAGCATAAGCCTAAGAAACTTTAGAACTGCTGTAGTCTAATACTAACATTAAAAACTGCTGTAATGTAACACTAAAAACAGGTTTTTCTCTCTATATATTGATAATCTAAAAATCTTTAGGCCACTAGTAGCTACCTTCCTTATCTTTATTTTGTAATAAACGCAGGCAGAGAGAAATCACAAGGCAATCTCAGTGAAGAAAAAGATGTTAAGAATACTTACTGAAAAATCAAAAGTTTTTATAAAGAGTTTATTAAAAGCTAGAAAAACTTGCTCTAAAATGACTCCTTAGCATTGTATTATGTTAGAAATGGTTCTAGATTATTTAGTTATTTTGTAATTGCAATTATTTCCCCCAAAAGACTGGTAAGTACATCTCTCAGGAAAGGGTTGGAGGATTTGGATTTATTCATGAAGGAAGCCGAAATGAGACCTCTTATGGAGTGAAAAATTTTAGGCAGAACAGAAGAGGACCTTGTTTGGAATGACTATGTGGCAGAGACTAATTGCTTCCTTATGTCCATTTGCCCTGCATCCTTTTGGTAATAGCACCTTCAGGTTTTAGTTGGGCATCTGGCCTCCTAGCTAGCTAGAGTCAGCCAGACACGACCTTTTGACACATGTTGGCAATGGGATGTGAGCAGAAGTGATGTGGATGTACTCCAGGCTGTATCCTTAATCAGGAAGCTGCTTATCCTCCACTTCCTCTTTCCCTTTCCCATGGGCTACTGGTACCAAAGTAGCACTGGTCATACAGATAAGGACATGTCCCTCAAGTATGACAGACCAAGACAAAAAACCCCAGTCTGTGGTCGTGGTCTCTGGCTGTATTTGCCTGAACTGCCTACCAGTTCAGACAGTTCAACAAGGAGAAATAAACATTCTCCCTTTCTGCAAGTACTGCTGCTTGGTTCCAGTAAAAACAACTAAACCAATACAGGCTGAAGAAAAGTATAGAATTTAAAAGTATTTCCTAGAAGGAAAAACAAGAGCCATTTAAAAAAATATTCATGAGATGCTTTAAAAAAATTCATCTACCTAGAAGCAGAGTCTAGTCACAAATATAACTGTATGGTAACTGATAGGGTCTAAAGACGGAGATGAGAGAATATGTCAACAGCTGTCAGTAATGCTACAGTACCTCTTTAATGGCTGACTCGCACACGGTGCCTGGGCCAATCTCTGTGTTCAGATACAGTAAAGCATACAGATAACCTGCTCGTCCGTAAAGCAGCTCGTCAGGAAGGTCTGAATCTCCACACACAATGCTTCTCTGGAGCTGCAAAAGTCTAACCAACAAGAGAACTCTGTTTTCTTAAAGAATGCCTAAAATACCACTTCTGGAAACAGGAAGTAATCTAGCATTCTAGGAGTTAACTGCTATTGAGCTTTAAGAACTATTATTATTATTATTAAATTTTTAATGTGATTTGGGCAAAAGTTTACAGAGTAAATTCCAAACAGCAGTTCATACACAGTTTGTTCATGACATCAAATGCAATTCCCCACAATTTAACAGCTCTCTTCCTGCTTCTTCCCTGTACTAACCTCTTCCCTATATCCTTCTTTCCTATGCATTCCTGCCTGCGCTATCTCCCTGTGCAAATATTGCCCTTCTGTTCTCCCATGATTGATCTTTCTAAGGAATGAATCTACCTGATGTAAATGTTCACCTTACGTGCTTGTCTACGTTTGGCTGGAAGCCACAGGAGTGACTTCAATTCCAGATCTGAAGAGTAACTAGAGACCATAGTCTCAGGCGTCTTACTAGGCTCTATTAGACCAGTAAACTTGGTCTTTTTTCTTTTTTTTTAATGCTTCAATCACATAGCCATGCTGCGGTCTCCATATCTATGATGACTTGCCACATTTATTTATTTATTATTATTTTATTTTTGCAGTGCCCCATTCCCTTCCTTTCCACTCCTAATAACCCACAATGGGGTCTTTTTTATGATTTTGAGTTTTGGTCCACATTGTTGTCCTACTCTACCCAGGATCTCTTGCACTATTGATCCCTTTCAAAGTGGCTGGAAGTGGTAGCTGAGCACCATCTAGTTTTACTGGCCTCATGATCATATAGGCTGAGGTTCACATGGTCCACTAGTCCCTTGGACTAATTATGTCCATGTGTCTTTGATTTTCTTCATTTTTCCTTTGCTCTGGATGAGGAGATCAATTGTTGCATCTACATGGCCACTCAAGCTTTTAAAACCCCAGCCACTACTCACCAAAGTAGGATGCAGAACAATGGTTTCGTGTAGTTTATTAAGCCAGTTGAGCGTGATGTCCCCTGCAACCATGGTCCTGAACCCACAGGTCCAACTACTGACTCCCTTGGGGTGGTTGGCTATAGCTAAGAACTCATCGTAACTTTGCCCCTTGTTAGCTCTATTACATACACAGACATTCTTACAGCACATACAAATACATATGTAGAAATACTGTAAGAACTAATGTTTAAAAAAAAATTTAAAAAAAAAAGACAAGAAAATCTTCACTAATTCTTTTAAGATGTCAAAATTAAGATCAAACATCTTTTTACCATGTAAGAGAAGATACTCCCTTTTGAAATTTAGAATGAGAAAAAAGTAATCTATAATCTAACAATGCTACTACTAAAAATGTAGCCAATGTTTGGGCATTAACTTGAGTGGTTCTGTCTCTCAACAAATAATAACCAACTAGCATGGGCCAAAGGAGCTCTGGTGGCGTAGTACCTAAGGCATCTGACTGCTAACCAGAAGGCTGGCAGTTCAAACCCACCAGCCAGTCCACAGAAGGAAGACCGAGCAATCTATTTCCGTAAAGATTTATCTCCTTGGAAACCCAAAAGGGGGTTGCTGTGAGTCGGAACTGACTCGCTGGCAGTGAGGTTTTTTTTTTTTTTTTTGGTTTAGCATGGGCCAGATACTCTACCAGATCCTGGAAGTGAGCCCTGAGTTCTGCTTATTAGGAAAGACTATAAATCAACTGGGAGTCTGGTGGCATAGTGCCTAAGGCACTACTGCAACAAAAGTTTGTATTTGTTTAATTGTTCCATAATTAACACATCTAATCAGTTACTTAAAAGCTGAATCTAAGATTAATTCAGTTTTATAGTAGATTTAAGGCATGTAAGCTAATATCCATGCACCAAAGGCAAGCAAGCAAAAATTACTTAGTAAAAATGATTAAAGTAAGTCAAAGAGATATGTTTATCCCTGCAAAACACTAAGCAAACACATGCTCAATAGAAAAGGAGCATCTGAGATTCCACCATTATGCTCAGAATAATATATAAACCTCTTTATTTCTTATGGAGATCCACTTTTAATAGAGGATGCATTAAAAATAATTCATTTTTGAATATCTTTCTATAGCAAATACCTCAATTTAGAATTTGGAGTAAATATTTTCAATTTTCAAAACTCACTTTGCAATGCATTCCTGGGACTCGCAATCACTTTTGAGTTTATGGTATACCACAGCTCCTACAGCAAGGGGCCCAGCATCTCCACAGAGGAAGGTGACCCTGCGGCCATTCAGATTCCGAAGTGTCCTCTTCACATAATCCAGGGACCGGAGCAGATAGGTCTGATCGCACGTAACCCGGTACAACTGCAGGTACAATAGGGCTATGCCTGGAATAGTTCCCCCACCCCAAAACAAAAGCATTATTATTTTTTCTTTTTACCTTCAGGATGTTATCTGATAATTGCATGAAAAATCTTCTCCATGAACCATATAATTGCAAAGGAACATCAAAAACATTACATATATATTTCTTAAAAATGAAAAAAAATAAGAAGAGAACTTAGTATGGAAAAACTTGAAACACATTTAAATATATTATCTTGCTAATTGTCCTGATGCAATAAATCAATACCCCTTAGTTGAAGGAGCTCTAGTGTCATAGTAGTTAAAGAATTTGGATTTGGCTGTTAACCAAAACGTCAGCGGTTCGAACCCACCAGCCTCTCCGTAGGAAAAAGGTGAGGCAATCTGTGTCAGTAAAGATTTACAGCCTTGGAAACCCTATGGGGCAGTTCTACCCTGCCCTATATGGTCGCTATGAGTTGGAATCAACTAGATGGCAATGGGTTTTAGTCTAGGGAAAACATACCACTTTCTACTCATTCTCCATAATACATGTCTGTTAGTTTGTTATACTGTGGTGTCTTGTGTGTTTCTATGATGCTAGAAGCTATGTCACTGGTATTTCAAATACAAGCAGGGTCACCCATGGTAGACTGGTTTCAGCAGAGCTTTCAGACTAAGACAGGTTAGGGAGAAAGGCCTGGAGAACTACTTCCAAAAATTAGCCACTGAAAGCCTTATGGAACACAATAGAACACTGTTCAACTCATTTGCTTTAGATAGGATCAGGAGAGATCAACTGCTGGAGGAGGACGTCATGATTGGCAAAATCAGAACCCTAAAAAAGACAAGAGAAACCCTTGGTGAGATGGACTGGGACAATACCCAAAACAGTGAACTCAAGCATACTTGTGAGGATGGTGCAGAACAGGGCAACATTTCATACTGTTGTACATAAGGTGTATATGAGTTGGAATCAACTCAATGACAGCTATTTAGCTATTCATTCCCACCTAATTTTCATGAACCTTGTTGTTGTTAAGTGCCATCAAGTCATTTTTGACTCACAGCAACCCTACGAACAGCAGAACAAAACACCGCCTGGTCCTGAGCCAGCTCCATAATTCTTGCTACACTTGACCCCATCGCTGCCGCCACCGTGTCAATCCACCTTGTTGATGGCCTTCCCCTCTTTTGTCGAACCTCCACCTTACCAAGCATGACATCCTTCTCCAGGGAATGGTTCCTTCTGACAACATGACCAAAGTATGTGAGACGAAGTCTGGCCATTCTCGCCTCCAAGGAGCATTCTGGCTGCACTTCCTCCAGAATAGACCCGTTAGTTCTTTTAGCAGTCCATGGTACTTTCAGCACTCTTCGCCAGCACCACAGCTCAAAAGCATCTATTCTTCGGTCTTCCTTATTCATTGTCCAGCTCTCACGTGCATATGAGGCCACTGAAAATACCATAGCTTGTGTCAGGTACACCTTAGTCCTCAAGGAGACATCTTTGCTCTTCAGCACTTGAAAGACATCCTGTGCAGCCGATTTCCCAGTGCTATACTTCGTCTGATATCCTGACTGCTGCTTCCATTGCTGTTGATCATAGAATTAAGTAATATGAAATCCTTAACAACTTCCATTTTTTCTCCATCCACCATGAAGCTGTTTACTGGACTAGTTATAAGGATTTTTGTTTTCTCTATATGGAAGTATAATCCATACTGCAGTCTCTAGTCTTTAAACTTCATCAGTAAGTGCTTCAAGTCATCCTCACTTTCAGAAAGCAAAGTTGTGTCATCTGTGTATCACAGGTTGTTAATGAGTTTTCCTCCAATCCTGATGCTATTCTTTTTCATATAATCCAGCGTCTTGGATTATTTGCTCAGCATAAAAGTTGAGTAAGTATGGTAAAAGGATACAACCTTGGTGCACTCCCTTCTTGATTTTAAACCATGCATGTTATGCGGTGTTTTGCAGATTTTACATTATTCTTTAGC